CAGGACGATGCTCTAACCAACTGAGCTACCTGGCCAGGGCCATGAACACTTTCTGTTCCGTGTGGTTCGGCCTGCTCCTGTGCGTTTGGGGTTCGTGCAGGCCAGACTTAGTCACATTTAGTAAGAATTAATGGAAATGCCCTCAGATATTGTTATCCATTTGAAAATGGTGGGACCTCTCTCAGACACCTGAAAAAGTAAGGATGTTAAAGTTACAAAAAGATAGGAGTTGCTTTAAAAGAAAGTGATTTGTAGTTTTCCCCAATTCTCTTAAATTCTACCCCCTTTGAAATTGGAGCCCAAGAAATCAGCTTTCCCTAGGAGAGACCCCCTCTGAGGCCGGTGGTGCACAGGGGAGAGTGAGCCTCAGGGTCAGGCCGACCTGCCTTTGCACCTCAGCCCTGTCTTTCTCCCTGTGCCTTTTGGGCCAGGCGACAGACCCTCCCTGACACCGAGTTTCCTTTTCTTGACACTGGGCTCCATGTTCCTAGCAACCTGGAGGAGTCAGTGAGGTTACTGTCACTGCCTGGCAAATGCAGGACCAGACTTGAGCGAGACAGTCTTCTGTCCTCCCTGTCTGTTCTCTCGGTCCGCTGCCCTTGGCACCCCAGCACTGCGAGCCCAGTAACAGGACAGCAGGATTTCTGTGCAAGGCCCCACGAGCAGGACTTCACTCTAGTCCTCCCATTTTGCTGCCACCTCCCCCAAGGGGCCATTGTCCTCTTGTCCCTGTGCACCCATATCCTAGCGACAGTGTCGCCCTGTCTGTAACAGGAGGGTAGGGAAATGGTGAGAAGGCTCTGGGATTGCTAGCAAGAGAAAGAAGAGGGTTTTTTAAGTTGCTGGGCTTACAGTCTTGGAAAACCCTGAAGCTGACCTGTCCCAGCTTGTTGCCATAAGATATGGGGAAACGGGCCACTGTCACTGGGCAGGGAGCCTTGGGAGCGGCCCCGCGGGCCTGACGCCAGAGCCCACAGGCTTGCCCAGGGTGTGCGGACAGCTTCCCCTCGCGGCCCGTGGCACCTCGGTGCTGCCACTGTGGAGGATTGCTTCTGCCTGGAGCTGCAAAACAGACCCACTCGTGTAGTGGCAGCAGGGTTGCGTCCCACAGGCTGCTGGCTGAGAGGTCGGGCCCCGCAGGCCTTCACCCACCGCCTCTGGAGCCAGGGTACCCAGGTCAGGTCTGGGCGCCCCCATTTACACACGGTGTGACTTCAGGCAAGTTACACGGTCTTTACGTCTTCCCCTTTCACAAACTTGGTAACTTAAAGTAACAAAAGTGTATTTTCTGGCTGTTCAAGGAACTAGATGTCCACTCTCTAGTAGCCACACGTCCTCGGGAGGTGGTGGGGAAGGGTCTGGTTCTTGCCTCATTCAGCGCCGGTGGCTGGCAGCACTCCCTGGCTCGTGGCCACATCTCTCTTGCTCCACCTTCACGTTGCCTTCTCTTCTCTGTCTTCTCCATGGAGCTCTTACAGGAACATTTGTTGTTAACTCTAGGAATGATCTCATCTCAAGATCTTTAACTTTGGCACATCTACAAAGACTCTTTTTCCAAATACAGTTATATTTACAGGTTCCAGGTATTAGAATGTGTGTGTATCTGTTTGGGCTCTACCATCCAACCCACTGCAAGCAGCCATAATGTGTTTGTTAAATTAAATATTAGGAAGCAGAGCAGTCTCATAACTGATAAGAAAACATGATGCCTGGAATTAAAATACACATCCTTAAGGGTTGGGGGTTTTTTTGTGTGTCTGTCTGTCTGTCTGTCTGTCTGTCTTAGTGCTGGCTGTTAGTCCTTGCACATGAACTGAGCCAGCAGAGTGTGGTAGGAAGGATTGGATTGAGAGTCAGAAGACTTATGTCTGAGTTCCCCCCACAAGTTCTGTGACCCTAAAGAAGTCCCTTGACTTTGCTGAGCTGCTGTCTATGAAATGGGGATATTTGCTCTCCCTCTCAGAGGTGGTGCGGAGGAGCCAGGGACATAGACACGTAGGAACAGTTCCCCGGATCCTGTAGAAAGCCGTGTGGCGTAAGTGGGGCTGGCACTTGGTTTACCCCATATGACCTCGGGGCGCAGGTGCCAGCACCCTACAGAGCATTAGAGAACCACTCCTAGACACTCTGGGGATGGGATACAAAGTCCGCACTCAGCGGTGGCCTGGGGGGTACTGTGTGGGAGGGAGGGGGGGAGGGAGCAGCCCAGGCGCTCTGAGGGGGCTGGGAGAGTAGCTCCCCTGGAACAGCATTGCAGAGGACCCCCCGCTGGGACCTTTGAGAATGTCCACGATCAGCTACAGTGGCAGCCAGTCCCACCCCTCTGTTCCCAAGCAAAGTCCTCCTGACCTCTTCACTGTGCGGCACACGCCCCACCCCCTCGGAAGCCAAGTCCTACGCTTTCCCCCCCCCCCACCGCCACCGTGGCTCCCACTCCGACCCACCCATCCCCCTCGCAGAGCTCCTGCCTCTGCAAAAGCTCTTTTCCTCTGCGGTAGGTGCAGCTCTTAGAGATTTCGATCACCTGGAAAATCAGGCCCACGTTCCTGCCTTCTCCAAAACCTTTGACCTTGTCCCCTGGAGACTTACCTTTCAAGTCCCCAACACCTTCTGTGTGTGGCTCATACAGTGGCCTCTGCTTTGAGTCATGTCACACAGACAACCCAAGTGTGAACAGCTGGGCTCTGTAACAGCGCTTTGTTTTGTTTTTTTAACCTCTTTGAGCCTGTTGCTCCTCGGTGAAATTCAGGCGATCGATGACAAGGCGATGCGGCTATCGCAGAGGGGCTGGGGACCGACCCACATGAGTGGCAGCTCAGAAACAGCAGGAGTGGCATTCGTGTTGCTTCCTGAGGGCCTAACTCAGGCGAGGCCTTGCGCCGTTACTGTCCCTACTCCCCCACCTTCACTTTATTGACATACCCTCCAGAACCTCGTCTTCACAAGCCTGCCGTAGCTGGAAGTTTCTGGTGCTTGCTCCTTCCATAGTTTTCCCTTAATGTCCCTGCCATCCCTTTATGTGCCCTTATTTCATGCGTGACTTACAATGTGCTCGCCGTTTGTTCTGTTATCGGCCACTCCTCAGATGCATAGACTGCCCCACACAGCCCGCATCTGTCCTAGCACAGGCACAGAACAGCTTTTATGACCGGTGCTCCGTTGGTGTGAGAGTGGCGGTCCTCTCAGTCAGTCCAGCGGTGGGCCCAAACCTGCTCCCACCTCCTCTCGCACAGCCCAACCAAGCCGTCCCTCAGCGGGTGGGCCTCGGGGGCCCTGCTGGGCTCTGGCCTGACTTCTCTACAGAGCATGGGACAGTGGGCCGAGGGCTGCCCTGCTCGTCTGGGGCACAGTGCTGATGTCTCACGCTTTAAAAAGTAGTCCTCCAGAGACGGTGGACCGCCTCTACCCCTAGGTACCCCTGAGGGGCTCTCTTGCACCTCAGTGCGGCTCTCTTCGTTGACACCCCTGGAGTGAAAGACTTCTCTCTGTGGGTCCTGGGTCAAGGACCGGACACTGGAAGTAGACGGTGTCGGGCTTGAAGCTTTGTGTGTCTGTCTTAAGATGGGCCCCCTCCTAAGCAGCGACAGGAGTCTTCACTTGGGGTGCCTGCGGCAGTGCTCTGTGTGCCTTCACTGCCGGTGGCTGTCAGGTAGGCCCAGCTCCCAGATCTCCCAGGATTGGACCCCAGACATTCTTTCCAGCTGACTTGGGGCTATATGTCTAAATACCTTTATTGAGTTTCATACAATTGACCTTACATAGATACTAAAGTCCTTAGATTTTAACACAAAAAGAAACCACATAGATTCTTTCTCCTCATTCTGCAGAGAGTATAATTTGCCCTTATATAAAGAGCTGCAACCTTGGTGTGCATCTGTTAAACTAACTCCCTTTGTTTGTAGCTCTTTAAAACCAAGCTCAGCGGCCAAACCACTGAGTTCAAAGACTAATAAACACCCACCCTCATACCAGAGCAAGATTTAGCAAACTTTAACCTGTAGGCCAGACTGCCACAGCGCCTGTTTTTGTACAGGCCAAAGGCTGTGAATGCTTTATACAGCTTGCACAGTTGAGGAAGACTCAGGAAGAATGTTGATGTCACGTGAGAGGTACATGAAACATTTCAAAGTTTAAAAATAAAGATGTGTGGGGACACAGCCTTACCTGTCGGCTCCGTATCGTCCCTGACCGCTTCCGTGCTGCACAGGCGGCGTCGAATACTGTGACAGTGACCTGTGGCCTGCAAAGCCCGGAAACTCATCCATCTCTTTACAAGAAAAAGCTTGCAGAAGTTCTGAGGGCTCACTGTGAAGGTGGGCGCAGGAAGCATTTCGCTATTCTTGGGTCCGGTGCCTCCTCATTAACTTCAAAACAACAGGAAGAGAGGAAGGCGTTGTCTCTTAAACACTTCACCCTCACCCCACCCCTTTGGTTCTCAGGGCCACAGGGTTCTTCATGGTGGGGAGCAGAGGGAGAAATTTTTGTGACCAGGACTTAGGGATTCCAATCAGAATCCCTTGGGAGTGGTGATTTCACGGTAGTGACCAAAACCCTCTTGGATATACCTTCCCACGAAGCCTGTGCATGAAGCCCGATCTTCACTCGAGCCGTGGTCCTTAGATGTGCCCCGATTTGCCTCTCTCTGTTTCCTGTGGTCTCCGCATGGTGTTTGGTGTCCTCGGGAAGCTGTCAATTCGCTGTTCACCCAGACTGACCTGAATGAATGCTTTCTTTTAGTATGCCTCTTCTGTAAGCGCGTCTTGGGGCTTCCTGCCCGTACCAGGGTTCAGGGAGTCATTCACTCCACAGACCTTCGTTATCCCTCTCCCCAGGAAAAAAGTGTTTCTAAGTGGGCATAGAGATCATCACGGATACTGCTGTATTGGTATTTCAGATCTCTTGTAGAGTTAGGTATTTGTTTATATTTAGCAGCCTTGGGTAGTAGTTGACCCCTTTCTTCCCAGTACACTTACCTTAGGACTTTAAATCTCCCTCTACAGGTCAGATACCAGGTCCAGGTTCCATGATGCCTGGGCAGCCCATGCCAGGCCGCATGATTCCCACCGTTGCAGCCAACATCCACCCCCCTGGGAGCGGCCCTCCCCCTCCTGGAATGCCGCCAATGCCGGGGAGCATCTCAGGCCCCCGGGTGACCCTCACGGCACCTAACGGCATGTGTAAGTAGTGCGCTGGGAGTGCATTGCCCAGGGTCTCCCTGGGAGGGCTGTGGACAAGGGTGGAGGGAGGCTTTGCTCTCTGTCTGTGATTTGCCAGCCCACGGACAGTGCGGCCCGTGGCGGTGCATTCCAGAATGTCAGCTTTGGCCGGTGTTCCTCAGCACCCCTGAAGGGCAGGCGCTCGTGACCCCGAGCTCTGAGGGGGCCGGCAGGACATTGCTCTCCTCTCCTATCTGTCTGAGCCTGTCCAGTTTGAGTCTGGTAGAACTACAGAGCTGCTGGGGGTTATTTTTTCTACAGGAGCCTTTTATCAATACAGGGTTCGAAAGCAGTGGGTGGGGAAAAAAGAACAGGAACCAGTTTAGGGATAACAAACATGGTTTCTTGTAGCCACTTGGACATATTGGTGGGGGCTGCTTAGACCAAGGTGCTTGGCAGCCATGCTGTGAAGGGTATGGGGGCCCGGTGGGCTCAGTGGAGAAGGCACAGGTGCTGCTGACTGTCGGCCCGATGGTGTGTAGGAAGCCAGGTCATTCCTCCTGTGAGCCTGTGCCGTGCTCCAGCCTTGACCTCCAGATGGCCGCTTCAGAGGCTCTGGCCTGCTCTTTGCTCGTGCAGACCTTCCAGTGAGAGCAACCCCAGAATGACACATCTGTGATCCCATGTTCATTTAGAAGTTCATGGATGCGCCAAGGAGTTAGCTCCTATTTACAGTAGAGAGCCAGGTGCGTAAGAGTCCTGGCCTCCCGGAGCTGCAGCAGGAAGATGAGAAACGAACTCCTGGATGGTATCACGGGATTTCCCGTAAGTCCATGAGCTCCTGCAGCGCCTGGAGAGCCTGTAGTGCTCTGGGACACGGCCCAGGGCCAGGAGGCAGGCCACCTGGGGGAAGGTGGGCTCAACCTGTCCAGACCCCTCAGCGCTGAGCCGAAGCAGGGCCATAGGAGAAAGGTGGGGGGTTGCGGGGGGGGGGGGTGTAGGGTCACAGCAGTAGAAGAAACAGCGGTCTGTTGAGAGTCAGGGGCTAGGGGTTGTGGTTTAGCGGGTGGCCTCTTTCCTCAGGGAGAAAACACTTGCCTCACCGCCTTCCAGGCAGCATACCAGCATGCCAGCCTGCCCGGAGAGTCAGCCAGTGTTGCAGGCCCCCTACCCCTACTTCCTTCTTTCCAGAAATGAGTGTTTCAGGGGTTCTGAGCTGCTGGCTTGGCCCTCGGGCACTGGGCAGCCTCCTCTGGCAAGGGCTTCCCCGCCGCGAGCCTTAGCTCCCTCCACCGAGAGGCAACACAGGGGGTCGGATCAGGGGGTTTGAGTGCTTCGAAGAGCCGTGGCACTTTGGGGAAAGCCGCCTGCGGGGAGGGTTGGGTGAACTGACTGGTAAGCAAGGCTTCACTTTAATTACGTGTTTCATATGTTTCCATTTCTGCCAAAATTTAGAGGTTTAAAAAACCTCAGATTAAATGATCCCTAGGGCTCCTTTGTAAGCTAAAGCAGCTAAAGTTGAAGCAGGAAAGAGCCCCAGACACGCAAACTAGCATTCCCTTCAGGACCTGACCCAGTTTGGGCCAAAAATCCAAGAACTGCAGTTGAGGCACAGTGGGGCCGCCCAGGGCTGGCCAGCCCGTCAGCAGCTGCCGAGGGCAAGTCCTCAGCCAGGCCATTTCGTGCCCAGCTAAACTAGGCATGGGAAGAGAAGGAAAAGACACAGAACTTGTTCAGGAAAGCATTTAACTAAAGAAATAAAATTAGAACTGTTAAAATACGATAAAATAAAAAAGTGATTAAGTTCTAAGAAGGTCTGGAGTGATTTGGGGGAGAGGTGGGCGGGGTGGGGGTGGAGCAGCCTCAGACACCCCCCACCCCCAGCCACTCCTGGGTGGGGGGAAGCAGCAGAGCAGTGACCTGGGGGTTGCGATGGGCCTGGCCCAGACCACAGCTCGGCAGCACCTCCCTGGCCACACTGGTTGCTTGCCCTGGGGAAAATTACTTCCTGTGTTTTTCTTTCCCAAGGCCCTGTGTTTTCACAGTGACAAGTGACTCTTGGATGTGTTTGCAGATCCCCCTCCGCCACAGCAGCCGCCGCCGCCTCCTGCAGATGCAGTCCCTCCGCCTCCTGCTCCGGGCCCGCCCGCCTCTGCTGCACCCTAGCCTGGAAGATGCTGGGGACATCCACGCCCAGCGCCACCAGCTGGAGTGGGAATGGCAAGACTTAGGTTCCTCAGCTTTCTTGGGTTTCTTTCAGGATTTTTCTTCTCACAGCCCCAAGCACGCGTCCCATATCCCCTCTCCCAATTCCTCTTGCCACCCACTCTGTGCTCAGACACCCCTTGTGCTAGGTCTTCAGCCAGCACTCGGGGGAAGCCTTGGCGACAATGTGCCCTGGTCATTCTAAAAATAACCTGCGTCTTCCCTGTCCTGGTGTGGGTACTCTTTGTCTTTATCATTTTTGCTCTCCTGTAGTGTTTTTGCTTTGTCTTATGCCTCTGTGGATAATGTTTTATAATCATTATCTTTTTTTTTCTTTTGGTTATTACTGCTTTAAAGGAGAGCACCCGAAGTTAATAGGAACCAAAAAATGGTGATGGGCAGAGAGGGTAGCTAGCGGGGACAAACCTTAAGACATTATAAGTGACCTTATTTCTGCTTACCTGAGCTAAGAATGGTGCTGATGGTGAAGTTTCATGAGGCTTTTGCCACACATAGGTGCACCAGAGTTCACAGCGATGGAAAAAGGGACTCTGCATCGATGGCTCTCCCGGGCGAGGACTGCGCGGGCCTTGACCCCGCCTGGCAGAACGCGCCCCGTTAGCACCGGGCGGGAGGGCACAAGCATTAGCACAGGCCCCTCCGCAGGCCTGCAGGTTCTGGTTTTCTGTGCAGATGGCTTCTTGGGTTGGGGCAGGTGTTTTCCTTTGTCTGGAGGCAGCATGAACTTTGAGGGCTGCCGTTTGGGAAGGCATTCCTTAGTTCCCAGGACTGGCCAGGAAAGTTGTAGGGGCCAAGGACAATGGTCACCCAATGAATCTAGCCCACTGTTCATTGCTTGTATGCATTCTTTTTTCCTCCCTCTTAAAAAAATTTTTTTAAGAAAAGTAGATAGTGCGAACCTTTTAGCTCATGGAACTGGGTTAGGACGGCGGGGTGCAGGTCCCCACACTACCTCTTGCAGTAGCCAGGGTGCGTGGAATTCGGTGAAGCGGTACTTTGGGGTGGGGTGGGGTCTGGCAGGTGGGGCTGGATCAGCGGCCCGTGCCCTCTCCCTCCCTTGCTGAGACCTCACATTGCATCCATCAGGCTGCCAAGGGGATGCTGGGGGTGCCGGGGAACTTACTCGGCCATCAGAGCCCTGTGCGCTGAGGGCCGGGCTTCGCGGGCTGAGAGAGTGGATGCCATTCCAGAGGAGGAGCCACAAAAATGCCTTAATTTGAGCCCATTTCTCACCCTGCTGATGAGTGACTTGAGAGCTCTTGGTTTTCCCCTCTGGTCTCTCTCCCCTCCCCTCTGTCCTCCCGTGGGTGTGGAAAGGGTGTTTCTGGTAGAGCTTGAGCCCCAAAGCACCTGACCTCTTCACTTCCCAGCCTCCAGCGGCAGTCTCGTCTCGAATGCCAAGTGAAACATCTTTGGGGTATCTTTTCTATATATTTTATAAAGCTTTACATATGAGAGGGTCTAGGTAGGTGTTTGTAAAACACCTTAGAACTTTTTTCCTTAATATCAGAAAGCAAAAAATAATAATGATAAAACCACAATGAAGATTTGCCTTTCATACCCTCAGGTGTTGCCTCTAACCAGGTGGCCCTGGTCACCCTCGGAGTACTGGAACCACGGGGACCTGTTCCTGTGTTCGTTCGGACTCCGCAGCGGAAATGAGCTTGTTCCTCCTGGAGTTCAGTTCCAATGCATTTGTCTCCAGAAAGACCCCAGTGCCTTTTGCCAGTGGCCAGGGTTTTTCCTATTTCCTGCTGGTCTTTCCAAAAGGAAACTCATTCCAAATACTTACCTTTCCCACTGGGGTCTTAGAAGGAAAACGAACTTCTGGTTCACACTGTGGTCCCTTGTAACCTCAGGTTTTTAATGTGATCAGTTTCAAATTTAAAAGATCCAGGTGGAAATATTTTTACTATGCTGGTAATAATTCTACAGAATACCTGAATCCTTAACACTGTTATGTTTCAGTATAAGTGGTGACTTTCTTTTCATGTCTTTGATCTGGTTTTGTTCCTGTAATACAGCCACTCGATTTTGTGAGGGGGAATAATACGTGGTTTTTGTACAAACGTGTTTCTTGGCGTGTGGTTATTTCAGAAAAAAGAAGGGAGAAAGTTTGGGGAGGTTGGGGGAAATTGATCAAGATGGCCTAACACCCCCCTTTTTAAGCGAATAAATGGAACATCATTTCTGGATTCTAGTCCATTCTCTGCATTCCTATACCTGTTTCTTCATGCATTCTGTGAAGAGCCTGAATATGCAGCCCCTTCTGGTGCTGGTCATCAGTTACAGTTCTGTGACTTGGGGCTTCCTGACTGACCACCTTCATGATGCCTAAGGAACATACAGTTAACTGTACTGTATGTCCACTGTTTGTTTCCATGGTCAAGATGAAAAAAGTGGAAGTTCTTCAGAGAGGGTGCCCAGTACCCTGTCGCCTCCCAGAGGGGCCTGATTTTGCTTGGAGACCTGGAGAACATTTGTCGGTGTGCAGCTTAGCCAGCCCCAAGTTGGACACAGGCCTTTATGTATTCTTTGAGCACCCACCAGTGCAAACCCTGTCCAGGAAACAGAAAGAAGCCATTGTCTTCAAGGTGCTTACGAACCTGGGAAGCAAAAGGAGCTGATCCTGCGTCTGCCAGCAGTGAGCATGTGCCTGCCCCTTGCAGCAGTGCTGGCCTTGCTGGGCTCTGCTCGCCGGCCAGGCCCTGGGAACCCTGTGCTTCCTGAGAGTGATCAGAGAGGTTAATTCTTGGTCCAAACTAAAGACTGCTTATGAACTTCAGTGTGAGTTCTTTCTAGAACCCAACAGCACATGTACAATCAATTAGCTTTCCACTGATTCCCCAGACCCTTACTGTGGAGAAATTCCCCCAAGTGCAGCCAAGAACGGCGGTTTTCCCCCTTGGTGCGGATCAGGGGTTGCCCACGGCGCTGTTAACGCACAGGCTGCTGGGCCCACCCTTGGAGCTTCTGCTTCAGTAGGTCTGGGGTGAGTCCTGAGACTCTGCATTTGTAACAGGCTCCCAGGGGATTCTGGTGCAGATGGTCAGTGGACCACCCTTTAGAGCCACTAGTTAAGAGGGGTATGTGGTAGAGCACATTTGCCACAACCCCTGACAGTCCCCCAGGAGCCCGCTAATAGGTAAACATCGGAGGGCCTGCGGTGTTTCAGGCATTGGCATTTGTGTGCAGTGGAGTCATAGTTACAAATAAGGCAGGCAGAGCCCCTGCAATTCAGGCTGCTTAATTCTTGCAGGATGGGGGACATGACCATTTCATACACAGTTAACATACTGTTTTAGATCGTGCCAAGTGTTCATAAAGAGAGTTTTCTAGGGAACAGTGTATACAGTCTGACTTGGGTGTTCTTCCGTGGTTTCTGTCCTGCTGGGTGTGGTAACCCTGAGGGTTGACCCCCATCCCAGGAAATCCTCCGTGTGCATGATCTGAGCACCCTGTCATCTGGTTATGCGGTACCAACCCCCCGGGGAAGCTTGCTTTCTGCAAACCTCTGCCTGTGTGAGGTTTTACTATCTAAAGCCCCTGCCTCCTGCAGTACCCAGAGCAGAGCTGCTGCTCCCTTGCTCCCATTGAAGGGCGACTCCTTCCCAGGAGGGACAGTGTGACAGCACCTTGATCGTTTGTCCATGGAGTCTCTCCATTTAAGGAAGTTTCCTTTCAGAATGGGGTGGAAAGGCACACCCTCGAAGGAAGTGCTGTCTCTCCAGGCCCAGGACCGCAGTGTCGGCCTCCCGGTGAGCGGCTCCCCTGTGGCGTGCCACCACTCTTGTCATCAGGAAGCACCTTTGACCCTGAACTCCTTGCAACAGCTGAGACAAGCCTGCCATGACTAAGAGAAAAGGGAGTCCTGTGAATCAGCCTGCGCAGAGGCTCCAAAACCCGTTATAGTTAGCTCCTTCCGGACCACCCAGCGCTGCTCCGGGGAAGGCGCCCCATCTTCCCACTTCGGACCCACCTTGCAGAACCACAACCCCCTTTACTTTCTGCTGCCCCAGAGGGCTTTGCAGGCTCTTTCAAACCCATGGAGGGCAGCCACCTTACCACCACTTGCCCTGCGGGTAGAGCCTTTGCAAGCCTCAGCAGAACAGCCGCGCCTTAGTACTGTGCGGTGACCGCCACCCTCAGACAGCTGAGGCCAGGAGGAAAGTGCTTCCCACTGTGGCTCTTTGGCTTCACCACCTAAGGGCCCTCACTGCCAGGTAGGCCAGGAAGGGTTAAGGAGTGGCCAGGCTCTTGGGTGGTTATAGGCCCTTTGCACAGGACTCTGGATTTCTGTGGCTGCTTTGGCCCTGATGGTGGATTTCCCGTGGCTATCCAAACTGCCTGTCATTCCTGGTCTGTTTATCCTGCAGTAGCTGTGGGGTTCCAGAGAAACACAGAGAGGGCACCTGCTGAGGCAGCAGGGCTCTTCCGCAGGCAGGCCTGGCTGCTCCACATCGTAGGCTCTCTGTTAGCTCCTGCTGTGCGGCTTTCTCCCAGCGGACTTGACTTTGAGGGCGTGAAAAGCAGGGGTCTTGTTCCCTGGCCAGGTAGCCTAGGTGGGTAGAGTGTCAGTCCAATACACCAAGGTGGCAGGATCAATCCCCAGTCAGGGCGCATAGAAGAAACAACCAGTGAATGCCTAGGTAAGCGGAACAACAAATTAATGTTCTTTCTATCTCGTTGCTCTAAAATAAATTTTTTTTTTTAAGAAAAACGAAGGGACTTTGCAATCTTGTAGCAGACCGCTGCCCAGACACAGGGGCCATCCCCAGATGTGATGTCCTTTCTAGGATGAGAGCACTTGTACAGTTGAGAATTCAGAGTTCCCTGCAGAACTCAGGACCCTGACCCTTGGCTCCTTCCTTCCTTCCTGTAAATGGTGCGGGGCGGCCCAGTCCCAGCAGCCCATCACCAAAATGGTCACAGAGCCAACTGATCTGCATCCCAGAACCAGGATCTCCATGCAGCCCACAGCCAGGAGAGGCCATTCACTGTCCCTTCTGACCTAGAACATCAGTCTGGGTTTGTTACTGTGTTGCAACCTGTTAAGAGGTTATGGCATTAACTCAAAAGCCCGGATGGAAGTGGTGGGTTGGAGGGAGGCAGGACTTGAATTCTGCCAAGTGAGGCCCTACCTCTGCATCCTAATTCCTCTAATAAAATTAAGAGGCAAGAATGAAAAGCCTCCATATCAAAATGAAAAGGTTTGAATCCATGATAATTAGCCGTGGCCTATCATACTAGCATGAGCTCAGTGTCAGTTTGCAAGTATGTAAAATGACCAATAAGATGTTTGTAGCATAGTTGCGAGGAGTAAAACAGCCTTGGCTGAGTAGCTCGGTTAGAGCGTTGCCCTGATATGTTAAGGTTGTGGGATCAGTCTCTAGTCAGGACCCATATGTGAACCAATGAATGCATCAATAAGTGGAAAAACAAATCGATGTTTCTCTCATTTAAAAATATTTTTTAAAAAAGACCACCAGGAAAACAAAAAATTCACGAAGATGTTAGTGGCTGCTACTGAGAACCTAAAGTCAGGTACCACGCTGCTTCCTGTGCAGACTGCAGTATGTCCCCAGCCGCGGTATCTGAAGCAGCTCCTGCCCGAGACGGCAACCCCTGGTGAAGCCAGGGGCTGGCTGGCGTGCTTTTTCTTTTTTTTTTTTTTAAGATTTTATTTTTTTAGAGAAGGGTTGGGGGAGAAAGAAACATCCATGTGTGGTTGCATCTCATGTGCCCCCTACTGGGGACCTGCCCCGCAACCCAGGCATGTGCCCTGCAACCCAGGCATGTGCCCTACACTGGGAATTGAACCAGCGGCCCTGTGGGTCACAGGCCAGTGCTCAATCCACTGAGCCACACCAGTCAGGGCAAACCAGGGGCTTTCTATGCACAGAGAAGCTGGCCGTAGCCATGGCAATGGGCCTTGTGCCGGCCTTGGCACTAGAGGCAGGTTGCCAAACCCATTAAGAACCTCAGAGGTATGCAGAAGCTATTGCCTCACGAAGCCTCCCTGAGGCTCAAATGCTGGAAATGAATGTGGGCACATGATGAGCCCTATAGGTCAATTTCCTTTTCTCTCACTTTCCAGTTCCTATATCTTACTTCCTCCTCTTTCACCTGTCCTACTATCCCTTATGCCGAGAAAAAAGACTACATTCATTGGATACTGTAAGGTTACCATGTTCACATGCAGGAGATTCAGGTTAATGACTCCGAAGGTCACACACATCTGATGCTGAAACCTGCTCTTCCCATCCCTGCCTGCGTGGACTCACACTCATGGGGATATCGCCCAACGGGATGTGCTGTGCTCAGTTCTGAAGCTTCTGGTGGGATCCGCTAGGGAGGGTCAGAATGAAACTGAACGGCAACAGTTGATTTAAAACCCCCAAATGAAAAAAAAGTTGTAATAGAATTTGTCTCCAGGGAAGGGAAGAAGGTTCAAGGGGGAGACGTTTCATATTTTATACATAATGTTTACATAATTCAAAAAGTGAAGAGAATACATTTAACAAAATTATTAAAATGAGAAACTGGAATAGGTAACACAGTTTTAAGAAAGAGGTAGAAGGGCCCCCATCCAGACTCCCGTGAAAACAGGAGCAGTGGCCATGCCCCAGGCGTGGAGGGGCCGTCTGCGAGGCTGGCCTCCGCGAGGAGGAGGTGCGCAGGCGCGTTCACCAGGCTCCTCACCTCTGACCACCACCGCCCAGGATCCCGCGAAGTAACAAATGAGCTACAGACGAGGGAAGCAGAGACGGCGCTGGAGGGCTCCTGTGGCCAACAGGCAGGTGCAAAGCCCTGCCCTGCCTTCTGCTCAGGGATGGTTCTATTTCAGTCTGGTTTTTATTGACCCCAGAGGCGGCATGAAACCAGAGAAAGACAAATACCATATGATTTCACTTACATGTGGAATCTAATGAACAAGCAAAATGGAAACAGACCGATGGCTGTTAAAGGGAGGGGTTGGGAGGCCGCGTAAAAATGGTGAAGGGATTAAGGGGGGGAAAAAGACAGTATGGTGATCACCAGAAGGAATGGGGGTGGAGAAAGAGGGTAAAGGGGAGATAAAGGGTGATAAGAGACTTGACTTTGGATGGTGAACACAATACAACATACCGATAGTGTGATAGAATTGTATACTTGAAACCTATGTGTCACCCCAATAAATTCAATAAAACTTTAAATTTAAAAAAAAAAAAGTCCCTTTGCAGGAAGTTTCAGATCCATGGTTGTGGGGTGAGAATAGATGGTTGCCATTCATCCATTCATTCACTCACTCGTGCCTCCAGCTGGCCCTCAGGAAGCCTCCCTCTCTGCCAGGCGCTGTGCGCTGAAGTGCCTGGCGGTCCAGTGAGATCAGGCCGTAAGTTCTACCTGGGGCCGGTTGAGACTGCTTCCCAAAGGGGAGGTGCTAGGAACAGAACATTCTGGGTTAAGGAGTTTGCCGGCCCTGGAGAAAAAGCAACACCGGGCGGAGCAAATAGACTGCAGCAGTTCAGCGAGAGAAACAGGCTTTGAACCAAAGCAACCCCATCGAGAGACACGTACCAGAGAGACAGGGAGATTGAATCTCCACTTTAGTCACCTATGTGGTTTCCTAGGGACAGAAATGGGTGTGTATCAAAGGTTGCCGCATCTCGGGTTGTGATCCCAAATGTCATAATTTGGGTCAATAACACACCAGGAGGTTGACGTTCGATTTGGTGGACAAACTAGGTGACTAGGCAGTGACTCCCCACCAAGCAGGGCTCCCGGGATGCGCGGTCCTGGGCAGTACAGTGAACTTGGGATGGACCCTGCAGACCACTCTTAATACCTGGCCTGGCGTCTGCGTGCCCCCAGGATGCGATATAGGCCTCTCGGGTCTGCCCGGGAATCTGACCTTTGGTGACCCGGGGTACATGGGGCAATGTAACCTGGGAAGAAGGAATAGACCGGAATCAAACACCGCTACCCAGGTTGCCAGGAGGAGGAGAGAGGAAAGGCGAAGTAGTCGCAGTCCCAGGAAGGTCTTGCCCCCTGCCTCCGAAATGCCTTCTGGCGGGCCTGGTTGCGCAAGGTCTGGGCTTTAGCCGCGACGGATTAGTTCTGATCCGATTTGAGCCTGGGCCGTCGGCTTCGCCCCCTGCCTGGCGCTGCCAGCGCCCGCCTGGGCCTCGTGGGAGCCCGGAGACCTCCCCGAGACCCTTCCCCGCCCTGAACACGCGGTTGGCGCAAACATCCGAGAGGCTCCCTGCGTCCCGGGTTCCGCTCATTGCCACAGCGCGGGCTTCGGAGCCCCGCCCCGAATCTGCGGGTATCTGGGCCCCCGCCTCCGTTCTCGCCGCGTGGCGGATGGGTTCCTCGCGGGTGGGGGTCCGTGCCAGTCCTCCACAGTGAGGGCGGGGCCGCGACCCAGCCCCGCAGGTCCCCCCCATCCAGTGCACCTGTCGGCTCAGGCCGCGCGCGGCGCTATGCGCCTTGCTGCCGCGCCACTCCGCGTCCGTTTGTCTCTGCGTCGAGAGCCTAGGGTCTGTCTGTCCCTCCCGCAGGCGGACTGAGCAGGGCAGGCGTCAGAGCTACGTGCGGCGGGGCGGGAGCGGCGGGCGGGGTGGGGGCGGCGCTGAGCGCGGCAGCGGCGGCGCGGGAGGTGGGGAGGCGCGGCGCGCCGGGGACAGCGGCGGACGGCGGCGGCGGCGGCGGCGGCGGCATGCGGCTTCTCGCGCTGCCCGTCGTGGGCTGAGACGGCCGCAGCACAGGCGGGGGGCGCGGCGGCCGGTGAGGCGAGGGCGCAGCTAGCCGGGCAGACCGTGGACAGCGGTCAGGGCGCCGCGCCATGGGCCGAGCTGGGGGCGGGGGCCCGGGCAGGGGGCCGCCGCCGCTGCTGCTGCTTCTGGGGGCCACGCTGGTTCTTGTCGCCGGGGCCGCGCCAGGTAGGTACCGACTGCCACCGGGACCCCCGAGACCCTCGCCCCTGCACCCTGAGCCAGGGTCCCGCTGGCTTCTGGTACAGGTGGAGTCCGCGAGCTGGAGGCAAGGGGGCGGGGCAGCGCCTTGCCTGCAGCCCAGGCGGGGGAAGGGGGCGCGGAGAGGTGTGGGATCTTAGGGGAGGCTGAATGGTGGGGGGCAGCCCCGAGCACGGTATGCGGACCTAGGTGCGGGCTGGGGAGGGGTCGGGGTGGGCGGGCCTGAGGGTGAGACTTCGGCGCGGGACTTGGAGATGCTGAGGAGGATTGAGGCTGCGAGTTCAGGGCGGGGTCTGAGGTGGGGCGGGGCCCTCCGGGTGCGAGTTCAGGGCGGAGCCTACAGAGGGAGTGCAGCCCTGAGGGTTAGATGCCTTCCCCGCCGCGTTGGGGCCGCCGGGGAAGACTACGGGTCTGGGCGGGGGCGGGGCCTCACGCTTGAGGGGTGGGGCCTGAGGAGGCCGCGCTGGGCCGGGCGTGTACCGCGGCTTGGGGGGCGGGATCGGGGGCGGGGCTTGAAGATGGGCGTGGCCTCGGAAGACCTTGAGGCGGTGGTTTAGGGTGGGCGGGGGTCTAGGAGAGCGAACTGCGGCCAGGGCGGGGCGGGGCGCCAGGCCGTACCTCGAGCGCGCCCTGACGCCCCGCCTCTGTCTCCCGCAGCGCGTGAGGCGGGCAGCGCCGTCGAGGCCGACGAGCGCGTGAAGAGCGTCGCGGCGTGGGAGTCGCGTGCCAACAACACGCGGGAGAAGGCGGGCTCACCAGCAGCTGGGGAAGATGAGACATTGTGGACCGCGCCCGATGGCGAGCAGGCCGTGGCGGGCCCTGGGGTCGGGCCGGAGGATGTGCTGGAGGCGTCGGCAGCGGTGACGGGCACCGCCTGGCTGGAGGCTGAGAGCCCAGGTCTGGGCGGAGTGACTGCAGAGGCGGGCAGCGGGGACACGCAGGCCCTTCCAGCCACGCTCCCTGCTCCCGACGAGGCCCTGGGGCAGTCATCGATGCCACCTGCCATCCCTGAGGCTACAGAGGCCAGCGGACCTCCCTCCACCACTCCTGGCCACAAGCTGAGCCCAGGCCCGGAACTCCCCAAGGAGAGCCCCTTGGAGGTTTGGCTGAACATGGGAGGCAGCACACCTGACCCTCAAGGGCCAGAGCCCACGTACCCCTTTCAGGGAACACTGGACCTCCAGCCAGCGTCAGATATCATCGACATGGACTACTTCGAAGGGTTGGATGGTGAGGGCCGCGGCGCCGACCTGGGGAGCTTCCCGGAGTCGCCAGGAACCTCAGAGCACCACACTGATAGTGGGGGGGAGACCCCTTCCTGGAGCCTGCTTGACTTGTACGATGACTTCACCCCCTTTGATGAATCTGATTTCTACCCCACCACATCTTTCTATGACGACTTGGAAGAAGAGGAGGAGGAAGAAGAAGATGGCAAGGATGCAGCCGGAGGTGGAGACCTGGAAGATGAAAATGACCTTCTAGTGCCCACAGAGAAGCCTGGTGTGGGGCCGGGGACAGGCCAGCCCACCAGTTGGTGGCATGCTGTCCCTCCACAGCATACTCTGGGCATCGTCCCTGGCGGCAGCATCGCTCTCAGGCCCCGCCCAGGAGAGCCAGGCAGGGACCTGGCCCCCAGCGAGAATGGCACTGTGTGCCGAAGTGGTTTTGTGCGGCATAATAGCTCCTGCCGGTCAGTGTGCGACCTCTTCCCAAGTTACTGTCACAATGGTGGCCAGTGCTACCTGGTGGAGAACATTGGGGCCTTCTGCAGGTAAGGGCATGGCACGCAGGTGCACAAGGACTTGTGAAAGAACCCCTGAGAAGGGTCTGTGAGGCAGACTCAGCAAAGAAGGGAGTGGGGCAGGCCCCACGGCCAAGAGCGTGTGTGTTCACAGGATTCCCAGGCCAAGAGATGCTCACTCAGGCGCCTCCTACAGAATTACTTCTTAAATGCCCTGCCTGTGATCTCATCCCTCAGAGAGGTTCCTCAGAAATAAGATTTTTGTATTTCCTCTAGGGTTGTATCCTTTCCCAACCACTAACTGTAAAGGCAACGTGAAGGGACTTCTCTGAGGGTTTCAGAAGGAGGCCCTTGCTGGCTCGAGGGCATTTCATTGGGGCGTTCTGTCTACACTAGCAAAAGGAGTAGGCCCGTAGACGTACTTCAGAGGAAAGATTGCTGCTGAGCGCGCCCTCCGAGCCACGTGTGTGTCAGAAGGAGGGCCCAATCCCTGAAGGGTACCAGTTCGGGGGTGGGTGTGTCAAGTCACAGTGAGGACCTTCTCTTGGGGAGGAGACCTAGAGAGCAGCCACTCAAATAGGTCAAGTCAAGTGGAGACTCTTAACAAGCATAGCAGAGGGGATGGGGTTTCTTAACTTGGGGTAGTGGTTTTTCCCCTTCTCCCGTGATTGTTGTCTTCCTGGAATACCCAGTCCAGAGTGTTTTAAAGATACAGAGAACCCAGTGTCCCTAAGGACATTGTCCACAGCTGCCATTTCATGCCTCGTCAGTCATCACTGTATACACATACCCTCACAGCGAGGCAGCTGACCTGCTGGGGAGCCCACTGGCTTACCTGGAAGAATCACAAGTCAGGGCTGATCTTGGTGGTTTGCTTGTCTTCCTACCTTCCAGGCCCTAGAAGAAGAGTAGAGCCCTCAGGTTTCCCTGGGCTTGATTCCACTGGTCCTAAGAGGAGCATTTCCATAATCTGGATGCCTTTTTATTATTATTATTATTATTAATTTAAGAAAGAAACATCGATTTGTTGTTCCACTTATTGGTGCATTCATTGGTTGCTTCTTGTATGTGCCCTGACCAGAGATCAAACCACAACCTTGGCATATGGGGATGATGCACTAACCCATTGAGCTACCTGGCCAAGGCTAGATGTCTTTTTTAAGTGTCATTCCTGATGGGGGGTTTTTGTTGGTCTATTTGGAGGTATGTGAAGAATTCAAATTCTATAGGTCATGATGTTCTTCTAGAAAAACATAGAAAGCGTGAATGCTGTGCCTTTGGCCCTAAAACCTGACTTCCAGTTCCTTCCTGTGAAGGTGTTTCCCATAGATGACCATGACATTAGGGTCACTTATATAGGATGTGTCCACACTGTTCTGATTGGAGTTATCCTACCATTACCCAAAGGAGGAACTGTGATCAAGAAATAATGGTGACAAGACCTTGTAGTTGGTTAAAGGCTACCAGAAATATGGGGAGAGCCTGTGATTCTGCTCCTCAAACTTTATTGGGGGGGCTATAGGGATGAATTTATCCTGGGAGATATGGATCTCCATGCAGAATCATTATCTTCCATCCTTTCGGAGGTCTGAGTTTTCACCTTCAAAGCAAGCTCCCCATCAGAGTATAAAATTGGGAGCCCATGCTACCTCAGCAGAGCTAGAAAAGTTCCCAGAATCTCCCGGAGCTCTCGGGATTCCTGAGTGGAAGCGTAAGTGTGTCCTCTGCACTGAGCTGCACAGCCGTGTGACCACAGATCCACCATGGGTCCTGCCTCAGGAGGGCTTCTGCCCAAGTCCACACCAGATCCCCTTGCTCAGCTTCCCTCCCAGGACTGCACTGGGGCCTGCCTTCCAGAGATCCCTCCTCCGGCCATGCACACCCAGGCTGGCCGTGGCTCGGGAACTGTTTTACATTCCACTCACAGGAGACTGCTGAGCCCGTCGTTGCAGACTGCAGTGTGCCTTTGTCTCTGTCACCCTGACCCACTGCAGAGGAGCGATCAGAGCAGTGGCAGAACTTCTCCAGAGCAGTGGGTTAGAGCGATCGCTTTCCCCGTCATCACACAGAGCCTCCGCAGGACTGCAGGGCGTCCGCGGGAAAAGAGAGAATTCCCTGCTAGCCGTGTCTCCCCACCCCGTTCTGGGTGTGGGGTAGCCAATTCCCCTTTCTCTTGTCTGTCATTCACTGTGAGGTTCATGGCCTCCCTCCTTTGCCTGCCTCTGTATCCTTCCACATCTTTCCTCTTTGAAGCAGCCTGGTTCCCATGGAAACAGCAATGTCATTGGAAGAGTTGGAGCCTGGGAATGTCCCCAAGGGCAGGAGAAAGTCACTCAACAAAAGGACTAAAACCCACCCAGAGGGTTGATTCTCACCATGCTTTCAGGGCAGTTCTCATGGTGATAGGACAGGAAGCTTTCGGGGCAGAACCTTGGGGGCTGCAGAAATAGGAGACGAATATATATCCCTCTTTGTGCCTGTCAGTGTCTGGTTGGCCACGTGAGCTAGATGGGACTGCAGATCAAGACAGGTTTTCATGTGCAGGGCGGGTCCTACTACTTTGTAGCCGTAGCTCCTATTCATCTTGTTTTTTATCTTCTTTCATCCAGAGCCCAGGGCTGGAGGGGGGCGGGAGTGGCGGAGGGGGCCTGAGGGAATCCTGTGATTTTTTTTTTTCCACTGAGGCTGCGAGGTGAAAACCCAGGCTTCCCTTCCCTCCTCGGTCACTCCATAGTCATGTGAGTGTCCAGTTCACTCAGTGTCTCGGCGCCCTGGTTACCTTTCTGTCATGGACCTCAGAGCTGCCTGGCCCACTTCTTGGGCGGCTACAAAGACGGGCCATGAGCACCAGCTGTTAGGTCTGCCCAGAGCGGCCGCCTCCCAGTTCCCGAGACTCCTAGGGATGGGTGCTGCAGAAAGCGCTGGGGCGGGGACCAGGCCTTTGCTGTGGCCGCCCCCCACCTTCGCCTCACCCTGTCATCGCTGCAGGTGCAACACGCAGGACTACATCTGGCACAAGGGCACGCGCTGCGAGTCCATCATCACCGACTTCCAGGTGATGTGCGTGGCCGTCGGCTCGGCCGCCCTCGTGCTGCTCCTGCTCTTCATGATGACGGTGTTCTTCGCCAAGAAGCTCTACCTGCTCAAGACGGAAAACACCAAGCTGCGGAGGACCCAGTGAGTCTGCACCTGCCAGCCCCGCCCAGCCCTGTGGCCGCGCCCCTCCACCTGACCCAAGATGTTCTCCCAAGGGTTTCTATCGCTACTTGTGTTTTTTGTACCCAAGATTCGCCCAAGCATATCCATTCCTACGCAGAACGTGCTGGAGTGGCCGCAGAGGCTCAGCCCGGTGGCACACTGCTGCTGCCCAGCACCGTTCCCCGTACCCCCACCCTGGGGAGAGGGTGCTCAAAAAAGGGGCATGCAGCGTAAGCAGCCCCCAGCTCTGGTCCCGGCTGAGTTCCTGTGCTCAGTGCCCCGCCCTGCCTGACTGCCCCTGCTTCCTGGGGCCAGTGTGTGTCCTCGCAGATCAGCATGAAATAACTCCAGCCCCCTCAAGTCTGCTGTCTCTGGGTCCCAGCTCCTCCTCAGCTAGGGCAATGCAGGGCATTGCTTTCCGAAGCTTGCCAGCCCTGGGTCCAGAAGTGCAGGGAACTTAAGGAAATCCTCTTCACCTCTCCTAAGTAGAATGTGGGGCATGGGAGGGCCTGAGCCTAGCTTCCTCCACTGGAGATTTTAAAGGCCATGTGGGGATAGAGTCTCAATTCCGCTCTTCACAGAGGGGTGACCTCTGTGTGCATTTGAAAATCAACATTCATTTACCCTTTAAGTCCACGCCTTGAACACTGTAGTGTTCACTGTGAGACAATCACTAAGCAAGGCAAAGAACCTTCAGAAGGGTCCCCAGAGTCACAAAAAGACAAGATTGGAGTTCAGCTTCCTTGGGACCCAAGAGGCAGCTTGTGCAGAACTGTGACCACCTCCCTTTCAACCTGTTGCCCTATTCATCCCCTCCCCCTGACCTGAGACTCCCTCCAGAGAATGTGACCTAAGGCCTTTCCCCATGTCCTCAGAAAAGGACAAAACGCCATCTGTTGCTCCTTTGCTGGGGAAACTTGGGTGGTGCACAGATGCCTGCAACCCTGCAGCCTTTCAGCCAACCGTCACGGGGCGAAAGGGCCTCTCCTTTGTGCCTGTGCACTGAGGCGGGGCATGTCTTTGTCGCGTGACCGCAAGCCGAGACCCTGGGCTCCTCAGGCCCACACAAAGAGGGTGTGTGGAGGGGGTGGGACCACCTATCAGGACAGCTGGAGGATGGGGGAGAGAAAGAAGCAGCTAACTGCTCTAGTGGAGAAGCAAGAACTGTGACCAAGGACAGAGCCTCGTCCTAGGCCTCCCTCTGGCCGGCTGCGTGTTCTGCACAGAGCGCCCTCCCGTGCCCCTTCCGCCCATAGGCCGCCCCACTGCTGCCCTCCGCACACCTCCTTTCTTCCCCAGGCCTGGTCCCCACTCTCAGGATAACGTGCCTAGTGTGAGCAGATGCTGCCACAGTTTATTAATTCTAAGATACACGTCGTTTTCTTTCTCACGTACTAACATCTCTGGAATTGGATTGTGTGTTATAATCACTGGCATCTTATAATCACTGTTGGCCAGATGGCCATCACGATGTAGTTGTAATTGCCTGGATACACCAGTGTGGTCAGAGCTGTTCATATCGTTGTCGGTTCTTTATCTAATGTAGACTCTAAATGAACAACTCCAGGCACGTAATAAGAACTCCAGGTGATAAGAGAGTATTGGGTTGTGGTTTAAATGGTAGAAGTTTTTTCTTAGCGGCGCATCAAATAAAGGCACGTTTTATTACAGTCTACAACTTTTGATGAAATACAGCATTTGACCCATGAAGCTTTTGTCAGAGTTTGCCACGAGCATTTCGCTTATATGTTCTTCCCTTCTCTCTTCTGTCCTAACCAGCAAATTCCGGACACCATCCGAGCTCCACAACGACAACTTCTCCCTTTCCACCATTGCCGAGGGCTCTCACCCAAATGTAAGGAAACTTTGCGACACTCCCCATACCTCCTCCCCGCATGCCCGTGCCCTGGCTCACTATGATAACGTTACCTGTCAGGTAACTCGTCTTCTTCGCGTCTCCCCCTATACATGCTGCAGCTCCCGCCTGTGCCTTCGGTCTGTTTCCGAGTGCGGAGCCACTCAGAGCTCTGGAGGTCAGCTCCCGGCCACCGGTTGGGCAGGGGACTTGGGAATAAGGGTTTGATGGTCTTTCACTTCCTTGGCAAGTGGGGTTGTAGGTAGTACAGAAGATGACAGGATTTTAGCTTCGTCTAGACTTTAGAAGTCTGATTTTTGTCTTCCTACTCTTCACATCAAGGAGAAAGGCCCTGTTTTCACTGCTGTGGAATTTCCTGGTGGCCCTGGAGGCTAAAGGTGGTTGCTCTTGAGGATGAGTGGAAAACAGTGCTGACGGCATTTGAAGCTGGCAGGCTGAAAGCACTTGTTAGGGCTGAAGTGAGCAGGAGCCGGGTGGGACCCTCAGTCCGGGGGTGAGTTCTGTCATCAGCAGGATGGGCTCAGACATAGCAGCTGGAGCCCAGTAAAAGGTCCCAACAGACCCTTTTCTAAAGACCCAGCCAAGCGTCCTGTCTGGACCAGACTAACCAGCAAAGTACTGGGTGCTGTAAGAGGCCATGTCAGAAGTAAAACAGAAGCTGTCCAAACCCCAAATCATGTCGCATCGGAACCCAGGAATTCCACACATGATGCAGGCTCCATACCTCAAGGGAAAGGCATCGTGACACCTAAGTGAGGTAAACCGAGGCTCTCCCTACGGGAACAATGGAGTGTTCAAGGAAATTTGGAGGCAGTTCTTTGAAATAATGGACCATCGCATATGCCAGAGCTCATGGGGCCTTCTCAGTCTAGGCCAGTGCTGACGGCTGGAACTTTCCAGTGGGTAGAAATGTTCTCTCTCTGCTCTGTCCACTAGAGCAGCCACAGGTGCCTGCAGCTGGGGAGCTCTCAGAACAGGGCCAGTGCCGCCGTGTTGGACAGCACTGCCCTGGAACATTGTCCCCTTCTTATAGATGGGAAGGGGTGGACCTCGGCGGGGAAGAGGGAATGAGTAAGTGAGACCTTGGCCGCCGAACCCCATAAGAGAAAAACCTTGGCTTGGTGGGAGAGGGGCAAAAGGGTTAGTTTAGATAGAAAACAAAAGAAGTTAATGTAGGATAATATTTAAAAGTCTTTGATGTGAAGGACGGAGAAAGAACAGATATTCTGTTACTTGGTATGCACCAAGATAGAAGTAAGTTCAAGATGGGCATAATCAAGGAAACAAGGCGTCCTATGAGCTTTACAGTTGAAAATTACATGAACAGACCCACAGGAATGCAGGCACCGCGAGAGCAGAAGGGTCTTGCTCACCTTGGCATCTCCATCCCTGCCTCGCCCCACCCCCTGTGGCAATGTGCACCTAGTTGTCACCTATGGAGTGCCGGTGAGTGGCGGCTGGCCACAGGGCCTCAGCTCCGCAGTCCGCTCCACCACCCCGCCCCACCCCGGTGCGGGCGGTGTCTCCTGCAGCCCACAGGGGGCAAGCGCCCTTGGGGGAGTTTCTGGCGCACCCCCCTCTGGAGCCCCTGGTAGGGACACCTCCGCTCCTCACCAGTGGGGCAGGGAGGGACGCGGAGGGCTGGCTGCCTGAGCCAGCACCGAGGTCGCCAGTTCTCTGCGGCCGACCCAGCCGTGCAGACTGCAAGGCGTCCCTCCCTGAATGCTGCCACTGGCCCGGAGCTCAGGGCGGCAAGCGGGAAACCCAGCTGCGGGGGGCGGTCGGCCATGGTGGACGGACTGCCTGCCCACCGAGGGCCTGTCTCTCAGGGGAGGGACAAGATGAGGCCCTGGGGTTTCTGGCTCTCCTTGGGTCTCGAAGGTCATTTCCACCCGGCACCCTTCCTTCAGCTCATGCCCCAGGGGACATCCTGTCCTCTTGGCCAAAGCTCTGAGCGTGTGAGGGGGTGACTGTCCCGTCCAGCAGGGAGTGTGCGAGCAGATTCTCTGCCTTCCTCTCTAAGCCTCTCTGAGCCCAAAAGGCAGACCTGGTCAGCTCTGTGGGCATTGGCATTTCAGACAGGGGCCATTTTATTACAAAGTGAAGGCCTGTCATTGCCTCAGGCACCTCGTCAGTCCCTGCGAGGCCAGCAGCAAGATGAGAAAGAGAGAGCCTCCAGCTGAGCTAGGAGGCGGGCCAAGGGGCGTCCAGGTCGAACCTGCATTTATTCTCTCCCCTCCCTGCTCCCTTCACCCCTCAAGTTTCCTTGTTGGCATTGGTGTCTTTTAAGATTTTGGAGAATTCCTTTCATCTTAGTAGGAGGGTTATTTCTTTCACATAAGTAAAAACTAGATTGAGTGAGTCATTTTCCTGCCCAGTTTCAATATCTCGACAATCCGCTCTCTGAAAGGACTTCAGACCAGAAAGAGCTGCCTTGGGTAGGGGAAGGGGCAGCTGCTGGGGTCTGTGTCACCGGCACTTCCCTGCTGCCCTGTCACCTGTGCTGCTCCCTGCCTGGGCCCCCTGGCCTGGCATGCGGCCCCGCCCTCAGCTGGCTGAGTGTGTGCGTGACTCCTTTGTGTGGCTGAGCAGCCAGGAGCGGAGGGAAGCGCCTGCTGTGCAGGTTTGAGGTGTTCCAGAAGGGACAGCGCATGCAGGAGGCTGGGCACGGTCCAGGCGCACAGCATGCACGGAGTCACCTGAAATCCACCGGCCCCTGCCCAGGCCTGGGCGCTGCCCTGCTGCTCGCACAGCCGCGCCAGCAGTAACATCATGGGCGTCACTCGGTTCTCCTGAGACCCAACAGACCTTCCAGGGTCTCACTTTATGACGAGGACGTCTCCGTGGCACCCTTGAATGCTCCCCGTGCTCCCCGCCTCGCCACGTAAATGTTTCTAACTCCCCAGGCTGCTGCTTCCACTCACCGCCCGCTCCCACCAGGGGAGGCTTGGTGTGGGCGAGCAGGGGTCCGGGCCTGGGCCTGCGCGACTCCTGGGCCGAGGGACGCCCAGATGGCCGGGGATGCCAGGAGTCGGGGACGCCACGTGGTTCTCAGCACGTCCTGGCGCCAGATGGAGGTCCAGCTTCCTTGTGATGAGGGACTGCCGCCAAACCCAAGGCAGATGGGCCCTCTGCTGAGGGACTCAGCCGCCCTGCGCCTCATAGGACGGAGTTCTGGAAGGAACTCTCAGGTGGAGAGGGCTCCTTCTTGGCTTAGACTCTCCCTCATCTGTCTTCGTTGGTACTTGGCTCATCTAACAGTGCTGTGTGGATGCCTGCGCCCCTTATTTTTAGAGCATACTACGCCTACCCATTGGGCTAGAAGGCCCTTGTCCACACCCCCCTGAGCCCTCAAGGGGCCTGGTTTAATTTGGGCCCCACGTCCACAGAGACTCTTGAAATCCACTTTTCTTCACATTATGAGAACGACCCTGTGCCCCTACATGCCCCCAAAGAGTGTGTGATATGGCAGGGGTGGGGGGAAGTGGGTGGCGGCAGAGGGAAGGGGTTACCTGAAAAATCAGGAAAGCGCCTCCCACCCTTGTAAGAGGAGAGGGGAGTATAGGCTGTCCTCGCCTGTTCCGAGCTTTGCCGAGATCCGGAGTCCGTTCCGCCCAGGGTCTCCCTTGGCCCAGCTCTCAAACCCCCACGTGCAGCGTCTTCCTGAAAACGATGCAGGAGTCTGGGAATAAGCAGCGCAGCCCCCTAAGCGCACTCCCGTTGCCGTGAAGCCTGGGTGTGTGCGTATCCTCCCATCCCAGCACATGCAGATGGACGTCACCGACAGGGTTTCCTGTACCTCTCCAAGCAGCGAAGAGAACCCGAAGTGCCGTGGGTGCCGTGCACAGCGGCCTTGCCTGACATCTGCCTCCATCCTGTGTGGAGTTCATTTCCTCTTGTTCTTGTCTTGCTGGGAATGGGGAACGTGTGTTCCTCGTCTCTGAATCGCTCCTGGGGTCTCTGAAATGATTAAACTGCTCTAGAGAAGTGCTAAGTGAGGCTGGAAGCAGAGGGAAGGGACAGCGGTTTCTATGTGCACAGTCTTTGAACCTGCACCATGTCCCGTATAAGCCTGCAGCCCGTCCCTACTTCCTGTCCAAGCAGCCAGTGCCCTGACCGCATGCTGTTCTGGGACAAACTTGGTAGCAGGCAGGGAGGACGAGAGCCCAGCCGTTCCGTGGAGAATGCCCCCGTCCTTCGGCACCATGATTGCCATACCTTGAATCTTGGAAGGGGTTAGAGCAAGAAAGGTCTGAGATAGCTGGTCAGTTACGGACATTCTCTGCCCTTCTTGCCACTCATGAACCTTCCCAGGTCGGTTATGCAAACCCTTTGAGCTCCGAGCACTGGTAATAGCCGCCGGGGGCACTGGAAAAAAAACTGAGACCCAGTGAATGTGAGGCACTGGCTGGGATCTCCTCCGGCAGCCTTAAAGGAAAAGAGTATCAGGACTGCGTACTGACTGGTGTGGGTCTCCTGAGAACCTTTAACAGGCAAGTTCAGTTCAGGTTCAGGAGCTTGTCCAAGGGCTGCAGGCAACATACATGGGTAGGCAGGAGGGCATGGTACCTGTCAGACGTGAGTTGTGACCAGCAGCACGAGGAGCATCTGGGGCAGAGAATGGCAGCCACAGAGGCGGCCGTACTCAGGCGGGCTCGGACTGGGGACCCAGCTTGTAAGTGAGCGTCTTTTGGTAGATAAGCTTCCGAGGGTAAGAGGCTCACACATCCCTGGGCTCTAGCCAGAGGACTTCTATGTGCCTTGGGGAGAAGGGCCCTAGCTTTTCCAGGAGCAGATCTGTGCCTGACCACAGTCCTGTGTGCCCCACCCCCCACCTGTCTGCACTAACCAGCATCTTGTCGCGAGAGCTGACTTCAGTGGGGTGGGGGTACGGGGAGTAGCCCGAGCAGAGCTCCCCACCAGTATGAAAAGTATGGCCAAGTATGAAAAGGCACCAGTTCTCCCCAGCCTCTGCCAAAGAGAAAACCTTGGACCGGCCTACATGACAGGCGTTTGCAATCCAGTCCCCTGTCCAATTTCCATCGCTTTGTGGCCCCTGATTTGGAAGATGACTTTCCTAAAAAGTAGCTGCCAATGAGTCCCTCTGGCCCATTCAAGCCTCCGAGCTCCCTTCCTTCTGCCGGCTCTGTTCCCATCATCCGGAGAGAAAAGACCGCTCCCCCCCCCTGCCCCCCGCTCTCTCCTTCCTGTGCCTCCCTCACCTTTCTTCCTCTTCCAGGATGACCCTAGCGCTCCCCACAAAATCCAGGAAGTTCTCAAGTCCTGCCTGAAAGAGGAGGAGTCGTTTAACATCCAGAACTCCATGTCGCCCAAACTTGAGGGTGGCAAAAGCGACCAGGCTGACTTGGAGGTGAACTGTCTTCAGAACAACTTGACCTAAAGCAGAGCAAGAAGAGAGGAAATGGGGGGCGGGGGGTGGGGGAAGAACCGTGACTCCCCTTGTACAGAGTCTGTTTCCTGTAACCATTTGTTAAACTCTTTTCTGTTGCTGAACTCATGGCATGCTTCGGTGTGTTTCGTACAGGAGGGAGAAACCACAAACTAAGCCGAGAACCCGCGCAGAATGGCGTGCATTGGACTGTCTGTCTGTCTGTCTGTGCATCGCTTCTGCTGCTGGGATTTCTAAACCTACGCTGTTATTCACCTGACTTTTGTTTTGTACTCTGATCCACCTTTTTTTGAAATACCAGTGAAAAAACAAAGTTCTTGAAATAAAACTTTTTAAAAAGCCATTTTCCTGATGTCATTGTGTTTACTCCCTACCCATTGTTGTCGGTTTGGGTTGAATTCTTATCTTCAACGAAGGTGTGTATTTGTACGTGTTTGCCCAGAAATGGCCCAGGTATTACTCTGCTTGGGTGGGCGGCCATAGCAAAACGCCACAGGCTGGGTGCCTGAAACAATGGATGTTTTCCTCTAACAGTTCTGGAGGCTGGAAGTCCAAGGTCAAGGCAGCAATAGAGTTGGTTTCTGGCAAGGTCTCTCTGGCTTGCAAATAGCCGTCTCTCACTGTGTCTTCATGTGGCCTTTTCTCTGTGCGCAGGGAAGAGAGAGATCTCTGTTTTTCTTCCTCTTCTCAGAAGGCCACCAGTCCTGTTGGATTAGGGTCCCACCCTGATGACCTCATTTAACCTTATAGGTCCTATAATCCCCCATAGGTCACAGTGGGGGTTAGGGCTGCAACATAGGGCTTTCGGGGAGGGTGGGGGAGACAGTGCAGTTCATTCAGCCTGTAGCACTTGTTGTTAAGACCACTCTTTCCTGCTTTCATAGGTATCTATTCAGCACTTAGGCAGCCCGGTGCTGTGCTAGATGCCAGGAACTCTAAATGAATCAGATAGAACCTAACTTCAACAACCAAACAGTGTACTTGAGAAACAGACTTAAAAACAATGCCCTGGCTGGGTAGCTCAGTTGGTTGGAGCATCATCCTGGTGCACCAGGGTTACGGCTTCGGTCCCCAGTCCCGGTACATGCGGGAGTCAGCCAGTGAATGTGTGGATGGGTGGAACAGCAGATGGGCCTTTCTCTCTCTCCCTTCCTCTCTCTCTCTCTAAAAATCAATAAAAGTTTAAAAAAAAGTAATATAATACAAATGTCCATATTATAACAGAGGTACACACAAAGCTCTGAGAATCACAGGTACGAGTACAGGAAGGCGCAAGGAGAGAGGCAGAAACTGGACTTGGAAAGATGCAGGGGGTTTTTTCAGGATGACACAGAGAAGGGGCATTGAAGCAGAGGGAGGCCATTCAGGGAGGTCGGGCTGTGCGCCTGGAGATTGGAGAGGGAGGAGTCCTCGCTGATGGGGCTGGAAAGGGCGATTCAGGACAGCCTGTGAGGGACCGCAAACGCCATTGAACACAGAGCTGAGGCCACATGAGATTTAGTTTCTCAGAAGGTACCTCAGGAGACTGGTGAAGGCAGACAGAACAGGGATGGTAGCAATCCAGGCAATGAATGAGGAAGGATTAGAGAGAATTAAGAGTTCGCAGAGCCAGTCACTGGCCAGTGGGGGCATTTTCTAGGACTCTGACCGGGTTCAGGCTGGGTAATCGCAGTAACTGGAATCCCTGGGAGTGTGCTTCCGTCGCCTGATTTCTGTGGGTCCTCCCTGGTTTTCCTTCTCACGTGCCTTATTATTTTTTACTTTGTGCTGGACATTTTATTTGAAAAATTGCTTATTGAAATATTTTGAGGCCTCCGGTAACTTCTTTCAGAGAGGGGTCTTGTCTGCTTCCATCAGGAGCCCATGAACGCCAGAATTCTGGGGTCACACTGTTCCAGGTTCAAGGTTAGAGATTTCTGGTCCCCAGACGTATCTGACTGTGCAAGGGCTGGTTTGCGGTCAGCTCATCCTTACCCCAGGGTCACAGCCCAAAACAGGCCGCGTCGTATCGGTGTCCCACCTGTGGTGCGTTCTGTGCTCCCACACCCCTCCCCACCAGCCCTGCAAGACATTCCAAAACACAACTCGTCCCTTGAGTCACCTTTTCCAAGCAGGGGGGTGGCCCGCGTGCCTCAACAGGCTCACCTCTCGGGACTCCTGTCCTCCCTGGGATGTCGGCCGCCAGTAATTAATTCTTCAGTATCTTGTTTGCTCTTTGATGCTGTTCAGATGTTTGCACAGCTTTCGGGTTGTCTTCAGTGGAAAGGTTGCTCCAGTTTACCTAGTCTCCCGTTGACGGACAACAGAAGTCTTCTGTTTTCATCTTGGGACTCGCGCCCAGGTGGCACGCAGCTGGTGCCCTGAGCTCAGACTGCTCTTTGCTATTGGCTATGGGGCTGCGTATTGGGATGTTGGGTTATGGCCCGTGTGCATGGCGGTTGTTCAATGTGACCCATATTTTTTGAGGGGGAGAGGGGGTAGGTTGGCGTGGCTCTGCTTAGGACTTCCTGTTCTCTCTGAGTTAGGGGACAGACCTGTCTTTCATGGAGTACCTCTGGCCCCTTTCACAAGGAGGCCCAATCAGGAGGAAGTGTATGCAAAAGCACTTTGTAAGTTCTAAATCCCCTCCAGACGTTAGGGTTTGTTAGTGTTCTGTTTTGTTTTGTTTTTCCCACAAGAGTATTAAGAAATGCGGATCAAAGCCCTTGGCTCTGTTCCTCAGAGCACATGCAGGAGGGATAGGAAGACCCAGACCGGAAGGGGAACAGGAGACGGTGCCGCTGAGTGAATAGTTAGCAGATGCTGCCAAGGGCCTCCGACCCAGAGAAGGAGCTGACGTGTTGGAATAGGATACACTGATGTCTATCTGTGCCAGCCCTAGTTCCTGCCGGGGAGTTGGCACTTCTTGATAAGCGTGCTCCACGGGGCCAGCCAGACTCCTCCCTGGGGACCTCCAGCTCCTCCGCCTCCCCCACAGGGACTGCCGAGCACCTGGGGACACCTCCCTTCAGCGGCCTGGTGCTTTCAGATGATGGTCCCCAGGTCCCTTCTCTCTGCTTTGTCCGCCCCACTCCAGAGCCTTTCCTGTGTCCTTTTGCCTAAGGGAAGGACAAACTGAAAATACGGGAAACATAGGCATCATGGAAGGAAGCTCATTTGTCAGGGAGCGTTTCAGCACCGATGGGCCTTTTCACTTAGGAGACGTGTACCTGCCGTGTTGAAGCATCTGTTTCCACAGGCATATTCTTGACTCACAAGCCTCGCCTGTGTCCCTTCCCTGGGGCTGCCATAACAAATGAGCACACACGGAACAGATTACAGCAACAGAGATGTATTTTCTCACAGTTCTGGAGGCTGGACGTCTGGGGTCAACAGGGCCCCGCTCCGACACACCCGGGCAAGTCCCCGCTTCTGGTGGCAGCCGGGAAGCCTCAGCATCCTCTTCTGCCTCCGTCTTCACACGGCTGCGTCCCCTCTGCGTGCGTGCGTGCGTGCGTGCGCGTGTGTGTGTGTTTCTGTGCCTTTTTATAAGGACACCAGTTACCAGCTTCAAAGCCCACTCTATTTCAGCGCGACCTCATCTTAACTTGATCACAACATAAAGACCCCCTTTCCAAATAAGGGCACCTTCACAGGTGCTGGGAGTTAGGACTTCGCTACATGCTTTTGGGGGGACATCATTCAACTCAGCCACACGTGACTGCTTAAGACACGCTGTCATATCCACGGTCTCCTCACATCCTCCCCAGAGTGTGGAGCCTGGGCCTTCGGCCTGGAAAGCCTCAGTGACCAGAGGAGAATGCAGACCCTGGACTTCTAATTGCAGTGTCCTTTCCTCCGTGTGACACCACACAGTATTTATGGTTCCTTGCCCTTTCTCGTATAATTTATAGAAATGGAAAGGTTGGCCTGGGCCCTGAAAAGCAGCACTGAGCGCCAGACTCAGAGCTGGAGGCCCCTCTACTGAGGAGTCACGACGCCCCTGAGCCCAAGGTCCTGCCTCGGCACCGTCCTTGACTTTCCACGGGGGTTATAGCTGTGAACAAAACGGACCCAAAGCCGCCTGGTGGAACTGACTCCCCAGAGTCATGAGGTGGCCCAAGGTGCGGCCAGTGAAAGCATCCTAAAGAGTGGGAGGGGCTGTACAAACCCACCCTCGGGGCCAAAGGAAAGGGTGAGCCCAGCAAGGGGGAGCAAGGTGGCGTTGCTGGCCAGGTGAGCAAGGAGGCGTGTGAGCCCGGCCAGTGCTCAGAACGGGAGCACTCCAGGAGAGCGATAACCTTGTCCCCTGAGCACGTGGACATGAGATTACCCAGAGAACCTGGGCAAAAAGGCATGCAGAGTTGCCTGCAGGGGTCGGGCAGCCAGGCTGAGCAGTACTCTGGCCAAAGGTATGTCAAAGCCAAAGGAAGGATGTGTGTCCCTCAGAGGGTTCGGCCTCCTAGTGCACAGGTGGGTGCCGTTCTCGGGTATAAAGCCTATGAAGTTTAGTCTGTCCTTACCCTTACAAGATGATGTCGCACGTAGTTGTAACAGCAGCTCCCACCAGCGGTGTGAGAATTGCTTTCGTTCCACATTCTCGCTGACACTTGATATTCTCACACGTTTTCAGTTTTAGCCACTGGACAGCATGCAGTGGTATGTAATTGTGGTTTTAGTTTGCATTCCCAAATTATTAGTGAGGTTGGGTCTCTTTTCATATGCCTATTAATCATCTAGGTTTCTGCTTTTGTGAGGCACCTGCTTAACTCTTTAGCCCATTTTTCTATTAGATGGTGTTTCTCTTGTTGACTCATGCGTATTCTTTATATATCCCATTTATGAGCTTTTTATTGGTCTTCTGTGTTGCAAATATCTTTTTCTACTCTTGTGTCTTGCAATTTCTTACTCTTTTTAAAAAAGATTTTATTAATTTGTTTTCAGAGAGAGGAGAAGGGAGGGGGTAAGAGAGGGAGAGAAACATTGATGTGTGAGAGAAACGTTGGTTCCTTTTCACATAGCCCCAACTGGGTACCTGGCCTGCAACCCAGGCATGTGACTGGGAAGTGAACCAGTGACATTTCAGTTCACAGGCCAGAGCTCAATCCATTGAGCCACACCAGCCAGGGCAAATTTCATGCTCTTAATCAAGATAATATTAAAGTTAATTTTTATGCAGTCAAATGTATTGACCTTCCTTTCCGGTTACAAAATCATTCCTGAAGATTTGCTCCTACCCAGGTGCTGACAGAAATCCTTGAGATTTTGATGGGGACTAGATAGAACTTATAGGTCAACCTGGAAGAACTGAT